ACGGGACCAGGGGAGGGGCGTGAGGCTTCCCAGCTCTCTGCCTTCAAACTCAGAGCCCAGCTGTATTTGGCATTCCACCAAACACCTCTGCAAAGCTGCACTTTGCTACAGAGCTAGTTACCAGTGGCATATAAATGGAAAAAACAACCCTGGCACATGGAGCCTGGGAAATTATTCCTCCCCAAGTCCATGTTCAACCTCAGCTCTGCGTCTTGGTCCTCCCATGTTAAAGAATGCTCTTTCTCTTTTATAAACAGGCTGTGATTTTAAGTAATATGTTAGCAATGCAAACATAACACTCTGAAGTATCGGGGACTTGTAAAACCCTGGCTTTCACAGTGCGTTACTGCAATAATCTGTCTGGGTTCTCATTTATTTAAGGGGCTGGGCAACCATATCTCTCCACAACTCCACAGGCTGATGCAAGGAGCACCACAGGATTCTGCCTGACTTCAGCCATCCAACCCCATAAAAGAAACTCACTTTACGAAGGCTAGGGAGCTTGCCAAGGGGTAGGGCTGGGACTCCTTTGCAGCTAAGGGCTGGCGCACGTGTCATGCGAGGGTTCCCTTGCAAGGGGCTGCGGAGCAGCGTTTCAAGCTGGAGCGAAGTGGTACGTACCTGTAACAAGATGGGATGTGAATTCACTGACAGCGTGTACAGGAGGCGCAGTTTGTCCCGGTCGGTGAGGTGGTCCATGTAGATGCTGCCAGCGTCTGGCACCTCGGCATAGCGCCGCACGATCCTGTCCAGGAGCCTCTGGGATGGGCAGCGCAGCATTGGGCTAGACAGGCCCTGGTGAGAGGGGAAAAACATGCCAAAGGTGTTCATTTTCCAGCCTGAGATGTCGCAATGTGCTTGGCCCATGCCAGGGATATGGGCGCATCTGTGCTTTGCCCACTGCGCCTCTGCGCCCCGTGGCAGAGTTGCTGCTGGGTACGGGCACATGGGAGGCATCTCCACAGCAAACCCCTCCTAGGAAAAACCCCCGTGCCATCCAAAAATGCCTAACTCAGGTTTTCAAAATGGCAACCAGTCATTGTGGCACAGCCACAGAGGCTGCAAACCCCATTTCCCCCCGACTGCGCAGCACTGTGTTGCTCTGCCCAGGTTTCCAGCCCTGGCATCCCGGCTCACTGGTGGAGGCCTCCCTGTCGTTAAGTGGGTGAGTCACTTCCCTCACTAAATAATGTCTTCAGATCGCTTCGCTATTTGCTTAACCTGTGAGCAGCTTTCTTGGAAATATTATTTGCTAAGGTCAGTAAACATGCTTTAAAAGTGTAAATAAACACTGTATGGGGGTACAAGTACAGGATGTATTCTCTCTCTGATAAATTTGTGCATTAACTATCAAAACCAAATTTGAATAACCCGTGTGTATTTTTTGTAAATGCCAGCAACAAATAAAGAACTGTTGGGCTAATGGAGTCAACCATTACTGTATTTCACCTTTCAGATTTGGAGGTTTGGCTTGTCAAATTGCACAAGCAATTTATGGTTGGGATAAATGGCATAGAAATTTATACCCTCGTAATCAAAGCGGATGTAGGGAGAGTTGCCCATAGTGGCATAGAAAGGCTGCCCTGCCATACCTCTGCTGGGGAAGGGAATCAGGTTTTTACTAAGCCTTTCTCTTCCACATGATCCAAGTAGCCAAATTTAGTCTTTCAGGTTTTCTTTCTAATTTGATGGCTGGGAGACGTGCTTCAGAGGAAAGGGCACTGGAGCTATCATTGCTCCCTGCCATTCTTCACGCTTGAGAGCAAAGATTTGACTCAGGATCTCCCCAGGTCATTTGGTGACTCTGAGGTAGGTCTCTCTCAGCCCTTCCTGTGCGAGCTGTTCATTTGGCATAAAACACCTAATTACCCAGCCACAACAAAGAAATGAAGAAACAAGGAAAGGAGTGTGCCACTCTCATGGTGGGAGGTGGAAAGGGGGGACCAGACCTCCCAGGACCCCTCCTCTGCCTCCCTGACAGCCTCAGTGAGGTCCCAACCTCTCCATCCTTGGCCATCGGTTGCACAAAACAAGCCCTGAATGCCAACAGCTGGTCAAAACTACCTGAAAAACTCAACCCTAACTGGAGTGTTGTTTTGCAACAACCGAAGAACCATTTCTTTCCCCCAGAGAATAAAATATTTGTCAAAAATAATTCTTCCCTGTCCTAGTTACAAGTCTTCATACACTCCTCTCCTCTGCTGTAGCTTTATCAAGGAAATATTTTTTCAACTAATTATCTAAAACTATAGAAGGAGTGGGGGGAAGGGATGGTTATGAATTTCTGTCTCGCAGCACTTGCAGGCACGTTGTGGCTCACTGTCACTTTCTCTTTGGAGAAGTGAGAAAAAATGAGCAGAACAGAGCTGTGTTAGAGAAGAGACAAACGGTGGAGAAAGTCTTTTGCAGCTCGGCATGTATGCAAATATTTGCAGCCAAAGTTAGAAAGCCTTGCTGCCTCCAGGAGTTTGCAATGCAAAAGCTGAGACCCGTAAGAGTACACAGTAGGAACAGAAATCACGGTGGCAGAGAATGCACGAAAGTTGTAATTAGGATTTTTTCCAAGGTCAGATCTCATCCTATTAACACAGACATGGACATGTGCTGCACGCAGTGGTCATGGCTGCTTGTTTCCCAAGGAACCATTTCAGGCATACCATCAGTGCAGCTTCCTATGATTTAATGAAGCCCCGATACACCAAAGCTGGCCAGTGGGGCCTTTTGATTTCTGCAGAGCTATTCAGATGCGTAAAGTTCAGCACCTGCTCGAATATTTCGGCAGAGCAGGGCCTCCCTTTCCAGCAGACTGATGGAAACATCCCTACAGCAGAAAAGGAGCCAGAGCTGTAAAACTGTCAGACAAAAACTGCTGATGGAAGAAAAATTTGAAGAACACATACTCAAAACACTGGAGATACTGATTTATCTGAGAATATCTTAAGTCCTTTGCAGTGTCTTATCACCCCAACAAATAAGACCTGACAGACAGCCTGACATATTGTTTGTGATTGATGTGGAAAGCTTATTTCTTTGATTAAATACCCACATTTTTATATCTGATAATAAGTAGTTCCTACAAAGCCTACCTGCACTTAACTGTGATATTTTTTTCCTACTGCACAGTACCTGATGCATTTTAAACTCCCATGTATGCTTATGCATGCATATCTAGTGTGGATGCACTCAGACGTAAAGACGGCCTCTGGAAGACAACTTCTTCTCACTCCGCTTTCTCTTCAGCCAGCCCAAGGAGGGGTGGCACATCTCAGGAGCACAGACACCTCCTGTCCCACACGCCGCTGCCTGGGTGCAGCTTCACCAAACGACCAAGTTTGAGGTGGGATCCAGGAGGAAACATTTGGACGTAGAAGTCAAAGCACCTGCAGCTCACCCCAGAAAGAGAGAAACTGAGGATGCCCTCTGAAGCTATGGGGCTCATCCCCCCTGCAGGCATCGCTGCTATTGTCCTCCTCCAGCGGGAGGTCAGATGCAGCTGGTGCCAGTGGGTTTACCGAAGTCTCTGATGGTGAGATGCAGGGTCAAAGAGGTGGCAGGTCTGGGAGGTGGCTCTGGAAGACCAATAACACCCATCCTTCCCTAGGATGGACCATCTGCCAGATTGGCGAGCAAAGTGATGCATACTGGCCACATAACCACAGTGCTGGCACATCCACTGAGGGCTGGCTGAGGTGCTGGTCAATAGTTTCAAACAGTACATCCTAGAAAGAAGGGTTGAAAATGGCTGGCTTTTCACCTTGGTACTGCTTTCCTCTGTATGCCTTCAGCATTTTCCAGGCTGTGCTTTGTAGGCAGGGCTGTAAATTTGCCCTGTGGGCTATCTGCTGAAACTAACCTGCTTTTTTTGCTCTTCTTCCCCTCCAACAGGAAAAGAACGTGGCATGGTTTGAGGTCATGAGCCTCTGGGCGAAGTAGCTGGTGGCTGGGGCTACTGCACAGAGCCCCAGCTAAATCCTGCTCACCTCCAAGGCAGGCCGGATTTTAACACTGAAGACTTTGCTGTGCCCAATAAAGATTTTCATTGTGGTGGGTGAAATAATCACTATGGCAGGCAGCTCAGCTGATAGTTGGGTCAGGCAGGGCAGGCAGAGTAAAGTGAAAAAACATTACTTCATGGTCTGTCATTTTGATTCAAGCACATTACGGTCTGTCGTAATTCTCTTGCTCTGTAAGACAAAATTACCTGAGCCCATTAGCTTTCCTTGGTGCTGCTGTAGAGGGAAAAACTGTGGGGAGGGGAGTACAGACACCGCTGGGTGATCACAGCTTTGTGAAACAGGGTGGGCATCATGTTAGGCATGAACAGCAGCGTGCTGTTAACACCTCTGAAAAGAGAGAGGGGGCAAAAAAAAAGCCAAAAGAGCAGTGCTGTAGGTAAGCATTTGCAGTGATGTGTGGTATCCTCAAGAATCCCCCTCCAGTGGCTCATGCTGGGTTACCAACATGCATTTGCCCAGCCAACACCTCAGAGTGCTGGCCTGGGGCGCAGGCAGACGCACTCCTGCGGCTTTCGGCTCTAAGGAGAGCAGGTGGGGTGGGCAGAGAGGAAGGGGTTCCCCAACTCTGTGGGGTCAGATGGCTTGGGGGAGGTCACCCCATAACCTGTGGTGGCCCACACAACAGGGCTGGGGGCTGAGGAAGGTCTCACGTACAAACTCACACACCTGTATGACTGAAATGTTGTTGCTGCAGGCTGTTTTTCAATTCAGACCACTGTAAGAACAGCAGCCATTTTGCAAAACACGTGCCCGATCTTAAATAGTGATGGCTGCCAAAATTTGGAGGGGTGGGGGTAGGCCCCAGGGCCTTTGGATTCCTATGCTCCTTTGTGTATTCAAGCCTATATGCTGTTAGAAGGGATTTACAACCCGGTTTAGGTTTCTCTGCTTGATACACAGAACCAAAGAATGATGAAAACACGAGCAGAGCAATCGTGAGGCCAGTGTGCAAAAGTCTGGGCCTCCCTGCAGCCTTCTGTGCCTTTTCCAACTAAAAAACTGCAGGGGTTGCTGAAATGTCCCAGGGAATTTGTCCCTGGGCACATCCCCCCATATTGGCCCCTGAGCTCACTTGCGAGGCGCCCTGGAACCGGGGTCTGCTCAGCTTCCCTCTGCTGCCCAGGGAAATTCAAGCGCCCAGGAGAAACTGGATAGGTGCAAGGCCAGGGTGCCCCAGCCGGAGTCTCCATGTCTTGCTGCGTGTGCATATGTGTATGCCTGCGTGCATGCATATGTGTGTGCATGTGCAACCCAGCCAGCTCAGCTGAGGATTCCGTTTCAGAGAGGATGGGGAAGGGAAAGCTGTATAGCACATCAAGAGCCTTTTAAGGAGAAGGATTTGGCCTCGGCTAATGACTTAACTTTGCAGCAGATCTGGGATACCACAGAGCTACATTTCTCCAGTTACTTTTTCACGCAGCAAATGGAAGTTTTAAGCTCTCCTGTTTCATATAGCACTGCTGTGAGGGCAGCACAGTTTTGCACAAATGCCTTGGACACTCCAGCAATGCCAGAGGGCCTGGCACCCTGTCTTGCCCTCCTGCAGCCCCCTGCAATGCTGTCCTGGGGGACAGGGATGGCTGGTGGGTGCCTGGGAAGCTGCTGCTTGCCACCCTGGCAAGGAGGTGTCAGAGCCGAGGGATGCTCTGAGTGGAAGTGATGCATATCTGCCCCCTCTCCCTAGCCCCTCTCTCGAGGTTACTAGACAAAGTACAGTGTAGCTTCGCTCCAAAAAATTTTTCCCTGCCTGACACCTGTCACCCTGCACCTCACCCCCCA